TGTTTTATTCATTTTATTTTATTTGCTACTAACAAAATTATTTGGATATAGGCTTCAACTTATTTCTAATTTTCCTAACCTAGCTGGCCCAATAGGTTGAATCAATTTGACCCTGATTCTCTAGTCCAGACCGCATCAACCACCAAACTCCCTCTGTGTTCTTGCCCCTTTTTACACACACCACCATCAATAGAATAGAGCCTCGCCACTAATAACACATCCTGATTATTTCATTTAGCTAAGTCTACATCTGGTGGTTTGAAATGGGCTGTCGTTGATTTCACTCCTAATAAAATATATATAAAACCTACTTAAAACTATTAGCTAGTGGTAAGCAGGGTCGTTCCACAAAGATGGCAGTCAACTAGTCAAAATCGGATTAAAGTGCAAGAAAAGTAAAATAAGAGAGTTGAACAGATTTTTCACTTGGGAGAGTTAAAATAGTCACTTGACAGAGTGAAGAGGCAGAAGGGTCAATCACCTTCCTACTTTTATGATCCAGTTTTGATTCAAGTTATCATGTAGTGTATGATTTACTGTTTGATCGAGCAAATGTATTCTTTACAATTCCTCTCAGATAGAGTAAAGAGTTCTAGATCACTAAATGATCTACCTCTCAGTCAGGTTATTGAGATTAATCTAGGCCATTGAGTTCTTAAGCCCTATTGATCACCTATGCCAATCACCTAACTCTCGTTGATGATTGAAACCAAAGAGTAGATTTCCTCCTTTGTCATAGACTAATTTAAGATGTTCTAGTTATGTTTGCCCTCTCAGATCTCCATAACATGCATGCACATTTAATTAAGTGGCCAGTTTAATCAAAAGGTTAATTAAAGCACTTAAACTAGAAACAATGCCTTATCAAGGAAAACTGAATCAAAACCTTCACATAAAAATAGTAGGGATTGAACCCTTAACTGAGTTAGCTACTCATGTTCATTGAGTTAAACATGAGAGCAACAAAGTGCAAAAGATAAGATATAATTCAAGATCAAAAGGTTAGAGGAGAGAAGGGAAAGATGGTAGCAGGGGAAGTTATTGTCTGCTCACTTTGGCGAGTGGCGTTCGCCACTTGACAGAGTGACAGTCTGCACTCTTCTGCTACTACCATGTTTCTAACCAACTAACTAACAACCTAACTACTGTCTTTGTAACTGATTGTAACTACCCAATCTGTCTTCTTTAACTACTGCTATTGACTAACTATTTATAGAGATTTGGAGAGGATTGGATTGGTGGATTCTGGCCTTCCTTGCAGCAGATTGGAGGAGACAGACAGTTGCAACAGCTGAAGGCGTTTGTTTATTCAGCAACTTGCCCAATTGGCAAGCTGCTGTCTCTCCAGCCAGCTCCTTTCTTCTTCAGCCGCAATCAGCCACTTCTACTCATCATTGCTTCTTCTCCTTAGTCTTTTTCTTGGGTGGCGGAGAAGGTTTATGGAGGTTGCAAAAGCTTTGTTTCTACGCTTCTAAGTTTGGTGGTGTTTTGACCGCTCTCTATTTATTTTGTTTTAAACTGTGATCGATACACAAAAATAAGGCTTAATTGTGTGAGGCGGTGGATGGTGCACAAACTGGTCAGAAACCATTTCATCCTTATCGATTCATTTTGTTTCCAATCTAATTAGCTTAGCTTTCACACGTGGTTTTGAATTACCTAGGAAATTAAAAACAAGACACCTCCTGCTTAAGTTTGCATGCATATAACTTGATTAAGTATTTTCTAAAAGATTCTGCATTGTTCTTATTAGTACCCCAAAACCTTCAAAAACGGACATAGATTTGTTTGGACTTTAAAAGTTACATGTACATGCAATTTTATTAGTATCTAATCATATCATTTTATTTCCAAAGGATGTGGGTATCACTTTCATTTTATACATATATATATATATATATATATATATATACTCTTATCTATATATATATATATGTGTGTGTGTGTGTGTATATATATATAGAAGCAAATCTGCTCTATCTTAATTATCTTTTATGATAATTTAAATGTTATATAATCTAAAGTTTTACTTCTCAAAGAAGCTTTTCATATTTCGAATGTCTCTAATTCTAATAATGCTAGATATCAAAGTATTTAACTAAATTATTTATAATAAGATGAAGCACGTATATTTTTAAAGTAAAATTTTGGGACTTCGATTTACTGTAACTAGTAGTATTCAACCTAATACGTCAAAATTTGAGGATATTACACAAGATGATATCTGTCAAAGAAAAGCATAATCTATAGACTGAGGCCAAGAGATCCATCAACCACAATTATCAGAATTTAGCCCTCAAATTTGTAAGACAAAGAGGGAGAATAAGACAAACGTGTCAAATATTACTCTTTAATAATAAAATATTTAAGAGGTAATTATTACAAATTTTTCCAAAAAGTGAACCTTTAAAGAGAGATTATCAAATTTAGGAGGGAAAAAGATGAAGACTATGGAACCAAGAAAAAAAATGAAGTAAACACTATATTGTAGAAAAAAAAATACGAATAAACTTCTAAATAAAGGTTGCAAAAGGTGTATAGAGAGATAAAAAATAAACTAAGTTTATAAACAAAATAATGAGAAAATTTTCTGTTAGAGAGATCATTATGAAAAATTAAACTAATAATTATAAAAATATAAAGGCATAAATCAACAAACATTAAAATAATCATCGTAGTCAGAATGTACAATAAGTTACATTGGATGATTTCTAATATTGAAAATGATTCCAAATGTACTTAAAATAACGAAACATATTCACACTAAAAATTACATAATTGAATATCATTAATATTATTAACTTTTTTAGCATATATCACTCTAGCAAACATGTCATATAATCGTTGAATCATTAAACTCATATATTTTGAACAACCAGCACAACGTGGGGGGTAAACACTAGTTGCATATTAAAGGAGAATTTTCAATCGACACGTATCGCTCAATTAAATAGTCCGTAACCTTCTTTGCCACATGTCAAGTTCAGATTTTTTTTTTTTGACACGTGTCAATGCTAGAAACCCTCTTTCATTAAAGTGTTTAATTTTTTATAAATTGGTTATTTCAATTTATTTTTCACCCATATTTATTACATTCCATATATGTTTGATTAACAACTTAACTAATAATGTAAAACCCATCATTTCCATTGTTAATTATTTTTATCTTTTTTTATTAGTTGCTGAAAATAATTTTCACGTATTTTTAAGCAGAGTTCACGGTAGTGGAATTTTTCTTAAAAAAATCATAAAATTTATTTCAGTGGATGAAAAAAATCATCAAGTACGTATAAAATGTAATGTTTTATCCGGGAAATCTAACAAACAATATTACTAAAGAAATATTGTATAAAACATTGTATCTTTACATTTCTTTTTTCCTTTTGAGTTCGCTAAAACTTTCATTTTGAGTTTACTAAATTTATTTGTGAAAATTTACAAAATTAAGCTACCAAGTTATTATTTATTTTATTGATTACTTCTAAAAGTTTACTACGAATGAGTCATATTAATGTGTTACCTTTCAAAATGTACACTATCTTGAATATGAAATATATAAAAAAAAAAAGATAATTGTAATTTACACAACAAAACATGAACAAGAATCATTATATCACAAAATCTGACAAAAAATTTATCATGTGATCATAAGTTTACAATTTTATGCAATACATATAACACAATCAGTGCAATGGACAGGGATAACTCTAATCTAACTAATTAAATTAAAGTGTATTTTCCAATTCTATTTGAAAAATGATTATCTAATTTGAGAAATTAAACTTCAAACCTTTTGAATGCAATGAGAAAAATAAAGGATAGACTTCTCTATACATAAATTTCAAGAGAAAATAAACATCATTAGTCTCTTTACTAATCTTCTTTTTTCTTCTTGATATTTTAGGCAATTATTAATTTAGAAATTGACGGGACATTTATTAACATAAAGATTTTTATAGAAATGTATTATTTCATTATTTATCGATATCATTTATTATTTAATGGATTGTATTAATTTAGAGAATTTATATAGTATAAAAGTATTTTAGTACTTGTATTTTTAATATTCCATATTTTTATAAAGAAGAAAAATAAAAGAAAGTTCGAAAGATGACCATTCTCACTTGAGGTAACACGACTAAAATTCGAATAACAAAAGAAAGTTCGAAAAAATGACCATTCTCACTTTCACACTACTAAAGTTCGAATACATATACAATATAAAGGATCAAAATGGGTCATTTTGAATCAAAATAGTTAAAAATTGAATGTACGTATCAGCCCGTCTAAATTGTGTGTACAAATTTAACTGGGCGAACTACATTTTACCCCCCGAGTTTTGGTTGAATCTACCATAAACCCCTGAGTTTTAGTAATACTACCATATACCTCCTTAACTCATAGTCAACTTACAAAATATTCTCTTAACATACAAACGCTATCATCAATTTTGTGTAAATGGTTCCTTTAATCTATATTTCTAGATAATAAAATATATATTTTTTTAAAAAATATTTCATAAGTTAAATTAAAAAAATATTTCACATTAATTCTTTTATATTAATACATTTAAATAATAAAATTTTGACATTAACTATACCATGTCTTTTGAAATAAAAACTATTTTCACAAATTATCTTATTTTTTAAATAAAGTATAATAAAGTTATATTATTAATCATGGATTAACTTTCATATATTAACTTGTTATAATTAAATTTGAAAATGACAACTTAAGTCATTTTTATTCTTAATGATAAAAAATGAATAAAAACAAATAAAAAAGAAGAAAAGAAAATTAAGTGTATGTAAATTAGGGTCATTTTTGTTATTTCAATGTTTAGACCTTGCTCAGAGGATATATGGTAGTATTACTTAAACTCGGGGGGTCTATCATGGATCAGGGCAAAACTCGAGGGGTAAAATGTAGTTCGCCCAATTTAATTTTAGGAGAAATACAAAGAGGATTAGTTGAGTAAATTTATATTACACCAAAGAAGGAACCAGGAAAAAAAATAAAAAGAAGAAAAAGAAAAAAACCAAAACTAAAACCTCTAAATTCCGGTCATAATTAGAGAATCCGCAATTATCTCTCCTCTTCTTTTTCTGTTGTAATTTTTTATCCGGTTTTTGTTTTCCGCCCTGAAAATCAAATTGAACTGAGAAGTGAGAAAGGGGAAGAAGAAGAAGAAGAGCTCTCTCTCATGGGAAGACCACCGAGCAATGGAGGCCCCTCCTTCCGCTTTAACCCTTCTGAGGTATATCTTTCACTCTCTGTGATTTTCCTCTTCCTCACCGTCGGCTTCGAGGTTGTGTTATTCGATTTTAATTCTGAAGCTAGAAAACGATTATTGTAAGGACGAATTAGTCTACAGACATTGTAATCTTTTTAATTTCTTGGGATCTTTTCCGGGGTGCAAATGTCTTCGTTTTGGTTTATCAGCTGCTTGTATACTGTGTGTAAGTAATTGACATTGGTTATTTGAATTTCGTGTAATTTTTAGCTGAGTTCGGTCATGGCTTAATGTGAAGTTTGTTGGGATTTTTTTTTTTATTTTTTTTTAACTTGGGAATTGTTTGGTCATGGTTCTAAATGGGAAGCTTGTTTGGAATTTTTTTTTTTTTTTTTTGGGTTTTTCTTTTCTTGCTCAGGAAATTTATCGGACATTCTAGCCAATGTTAAACTTGGCAAGACTTATCGAGAGAATTAATGCTTTTATTTGTGCGATTGGTCTGTCATTCCTGGGGGGGGGGGAGGGGATAGACTTTTAGGTGAACATGATTGACTAGTTTATGTGTTTCTGTATTCCCTTTCGTGTGACACGAGACTGTGATTGACTGTCTTTCTCATCAAGGGCCTCTATATGAGTCCTAGTACTTTCAAATTTAACAACTGTAGCTAATCGTGGGGATAACCTTTTTGTTTGAACATTAAAGGTTGCGGAAATGGAAGCTATTTTGCATGCACATAACACTCAGGTCCCATCACGTGAACTTCTCGTCTCCCTTGCTGAGAAGTTTAGGTATTTAATTTTTTTTTCCTTGTACCTATTGATTTGGAATCTTCGTGTAAATTGCACACTGAAGTTTGGTGTCATGTGATTGCGCTTTTTCTTCTCAGCAATTCAAGCGATCGAGCAGGAAAAGTAACCGTTCAAATGAAACAAGTAAGAAACCTTCTTAATTTGCTACATGCTGATATTTTTGGAGTGTTGTTCACTTCACTCATGGATTAAGGAATCAACTACAGGTGTGGAACTGGTTTCAAAACCGACGATATGCTCTTAGGGCCAAAGCTGCCAAGGTTCCAGTAAAGTTAAGCACATCACCTATCCCTCCCAACGATTTTTCTGCAGTAAGAAATGTGCCTCAAGCTCCTCAACACGTATCAGTTCCCCCTACTCAGCGTATGTTTTATCTTTCAGGCAAAAAGTAGTTGAACGCTACTTCTTGAGAGCCGTTTTTTGACATGGTTGATTTGCTTATTTTACATAGTTTTAATATTATTCTTGCTGCTAATGCAATCTGTTTTGGTTCAGCTATTGTCAGGAATCTGCCTCAAGTACTCCAACCTATTTCTTGTCCTCCAGGTAGATAGAATAATTTGTGTTATGTACATGACAGTTTCTTTCATTTTTTTTTTTAATTGAAAGATAAACCTTCACTATGATTGTTACCGGTCAGAGGTGTCCTTCAAAAAGGTTTATATGTGATTTTGTGGTTCTGCATGTTTTTATCGTTTTTGGTATGACTGTGGAGGTTTATGAGAAGATGGTAGCTTTTTCTTAAAATGTAATTTTCTTTACTCTTTTTTAATACTTTTCTACACGTATACTAATTCTAATCTTAAAGCAGTTCAACTCGTGGGACAAAATGGCCTAGATAACTTCCCCATGGAGTTTGAAGCTAAGTCAACAAGGGATGGTGCTTGGTTAGTGACTTTTCTTGTTACCTTCAAACTTGTTTGAGCATTGGGTTTTGGGATTTTTGATCCCAATAGATGCAAAGTTATTTCAAAGAGAAATGCATTTTTAGTGATTAGCTGTTGCTATTGCAGGTATGATGTGTCAGCCTTCATTTCACATAAATCTGCAGACACTGTGGACCCGGTAATTCCTGATTCGATTAGCACGCATGGCATCAAACGATTGATTCAGGCTAGTGTGTGTGCGTGTGTCTTCAATTATTTCTTTCTTTTTGATTGAAGGTTTTTATCGCTGTTAGTCTCATCCAGATATCGTTGCTGATGAGTACACTTGTGATTTGGTTGCGTAGGATTCCAGCTTTGATCTTTTCTTGTTAATAGTTTCTAGACCTTGTTGGAGGTTAACCAGCAATTAATTAGGTCAATGGTATTTGTTGTTTTATCTGCTCTGCTCTTGTTTTCTAGATCTAATGCTGCTAGCAAGAGAGAGTTTTAACCCTGTTATCTGCAAGTCTCATATTTGTAGTCCTTGCAGCATCTTTGAATGATTATTGTACTTCAGCAAGTTGAAATTCATTATCTGCACTAAAGCTCTTCAGTTAATGGTTGACTGCTTGCTTGTCTTCTTGACTTTGTATATTCTCTATGTACTGTCCCACATTTTGTTTGTTGTCTCCTGATATGATATTAACTCTTGTGACAAATTCAGGAAGTTCTTGTTCGTTTTGCTGGTTTGGGACCAGAAGAGGATGAATGGGTGAACATCCGCAAGCATGTAAGGCAGCGATCTCTCCCATGTGAAGCCTCTGAATGTGTCACGGTGCTTCCTGGAGATCTGATACTCTGTTTTCAGGTGCATGATCTTTATATATTTCCAGACTTGTTTGTTGTAATCTACCTATGTGTCTATGACAACAACAACAACAAGCCTTTTTCCCACTAGGTGGGGTCGGCTATATGGATCATATGTCGCCATCGTGCTCGATCATTACATAAATCATCTCTCAAATTTAAATATTTCAAATCATTTTTTATAGTTTCTTTCCAAGTTTTCTTCGGTCTACCCCTACCCCTCTTTATTTGAGTCCTAGATTCTATACTTTCTACCCTCCTAACCGGGGCCTCCACCGGTCTCCTACGCACATGCCCAAACCACCTTAAGCGAGTTTCTCTCATTTTCTCAATCTACCTATGTGTCTGAAAGAGTAAAATCCATAAATGAGGAACTAACATTGTAGATAACGAACTCATCCTGTTAAGTCACCTGAAAATTTGCAGGAAGGTAAAGAGCAGGCTCTCTACTTTGATGCGCATGTTCTTGATGCACAAAGGCGGAGACATGATGTTAGAGGATGCCGTTGTCGGTTTCTGGTGCGTTACGATCATGATCAATCTGAGGTACAATATCCTACATATTCTGCCATCACTCTTTTTGTACTGGTTAACTTGTGTCCTCTTCTTTTTGTTGTCTTTCTGGTCATGCTTGAATACATCTAATGGTATTTGTACTTGTTGCCAAAATCGGTTATATTAACACTTGGATTCTCTGCCTTTGTCTCCTAATCTTTGTTGCATTCTCTGTCTTCATCTCCTTTTCTTTGTTGCATTCTCCGTTTAAAGTAGATATTACACTTTTGTTGAGGAGTTTATAGTGTTGTGCATCTGTTCCGTATTCTGTCTTTGGCTTTTGCTGAGAATGATTAGTTTGTGCTTTTAGTTATATTAGTCTGTCCAATGAGAGAACATTATTTGATAAACTCCAAGTGTGCGATCTTTGATAATTGAAAAATAAACTAAAATGCTCCAGCATTCAACTTTAGGCATCCAAATCATATTGGGAAGGGTTGATGCAGTTAGTGCTTATGTTTTCTGCTGCATAATTAAAGTATCCCATGTTAGGGATTGAGTTATTGTGGTTTCTTGCACATGTTTTTAGCTTGAGAATTATTTGTGACTTTCTCTTTTTTAAAATAGAAGTGTTGACTGATCCAGTCATGTTGTTTGTTTGAAAATTGTTTGTGACTAACTCATCCTCTTTTTTAAAAATATAACTGTTGACTCATCAAGTCCATATGGCCTGCCAACATGATGATATAAATACTCGTTGTTGTTGCATCTTATCTTCCCTCTTTGGAAATTCTTCTCCCAGGACTAAGCTCTTGATTATGTGTCTCTGGAGTCGATTTTTCGTAGCTCGAACACTGAAAGCATTTTGTGTTAGCTCTTCTGTATCGGCACTTATTTACAGATGTGATTTTGTTGTGCAATCTCTAGGAAATTGTCCCGCTCAAGAAGGTTTGTCGTCGGCCAGAAACTGATTATAGGATGCAGCAACTTCATGCCGAGTCTGCAAGTAAAAACCGGAACAAAGCTGTTCCGGAACCTCATGCAGGCAACACTGTAACCAATCCTGAATCTGAATCTGTACAGCAGCTGCAGAAGGCTGAGGCTCCTGCTGACACGAAAGAGCAGCCAGTGCTTGAGAAACCTGTGCAGGCTCCCATCTCCAGCACCAATGCAGCCACATCCACAGCTGCTATGGCGCATGCTAATGCTGGAGTTACTGCTTCTCAACCCACTGCTTCAGTAGACAATACCACCACTCCGATTCCTCAGTCAAATGTCTCCGGAGCCACTATCCCTGCAGGGAGTATAACCAATCCAACCGTTCATTTCAATGCTTCTGATGCTACAGTTACTTCCGATACCGCCACAGTACCTGCTGCTGAATCTGTTACCTCTAAAGCCATTCCCTCTCTTCCTGATACAGTAAATCCAGTAGCTCAAACTAATACACCTGCTGCCACTCTCCCTACAGCAAGTACCACAAATCCAGCTGTTGACGTCACGGATTCTACTGCCGCTTCTACCGTCAGTGATCCAGTTACTCTTCCTCGACCTGTTGCCGTTGGACCAACTTCCCCTGTACGTAATCCAGCAAACCCAGCCACTCAAGTGAATAGGCCTCCAGTCACTATTACTACAGCCAGTTTCCCGCCTATTACTCATTCCGTTACCTCTGGAGCCACTCTTTCTACAGACACTATGATAGAACCTTCCATTCAACTGGTTGAGCCTCATGATACTGTTTCTGCAGTAACTGCTGCACCTATTACTCAGCCCATTACTGCCGGAGTTGCTAACTCTGCATCTCAAGATTCCAATGTCTCTGTATCTACTACTTCTGCAGTGACGTCGAGGATGCAGGTTGCAAATTCGGACGTTGCCGGAGCCACTGATTCTGTAGCCACTAACACAGCTACAATGACTACGGAATTAGCTGGACTCGCTGCTCCTCCTACATCTCAAGATGCAAATTCCAAAGTCTCTGGATCTGCTACTCCTGCAGTGAATACAACGACAGCAGTGGCAAATTCAGATGTTGCTGGAACCACTGATTCTGTTATCACTGCCTCAACTTCAGTTCCAAATTCCATCCCTGCTGAACAAAGTGATTCAACAGTCCCTTCCACAACTCCAAATGCTAACTCGGATTGCTCAGTGGTTGCAGAATCTGTAGACACGGACATGACCCCGGTTGCAGGATCCGGTGTTTCTACAGCTGACACAGACATGACTCCAGTTACAGAATCCGGTATTTCTACAGCCGACACGGACATGACTCTAGTTGCAGGGTCCGGTGTTTCTACAGCCGACACGGACATGACTCTAGTTGCAGGATCCGGTGTTTCTACAGCCGACATGGACATGACTCCAGTTGCTGGATCCGGTGATTCTACTGCCGACACGGACATGACTCCAGTTGCAGGATCCGGTGTTTCTACTGCCGACACGGACATGACTCCAGTTGCAGGATCCGGTGTTTCTACAGCCTATGAAGAGCCTTGAAAATATTCGTTGTACTTTACCGTGGATGGTGGACTTAAAAGTTCAAAATCAAGCCAAACATGTAGTCTTGAGGTTAGGTTGATGTGTCTGCTGACTGGGTATGTGGTGATCGTGGAAACCTTTTAACCTGTTAGCGAGATGTAAATGATATGATTGTCCCTGTAAATGATATGATTGTCCCTAATTCTTAAAGTCGTGAACAATCTAATGACGAGAGTAGTTGAAATCCTCATGCTTAAATTTGGTGAAACTGCTTCCATCTAATGAATTTGTTATTTGTGTGCTCCTACTATTTTAAAGATAATGAATAAATTTTCAATGACTCCTCAAGGTTTAGAAGATTTACATTATAAACCCTAAGGCTCCAAAGAAAGATTACAAACACCCTCGGACTGATTGATCAATTTAATTTCTGAATGATAATTAATTAATCACACGGATGAATGGTAAGTTACTTTTAAAAAGCCCTGCAGATTTTTTACAACCTAGCATTACACGGATAACCGTAAGAGCAACTTGATCAAAAGTGACTTAGATTTGTGTTACTTATTACCGATTTCAACTTTATGTATTTGTTTTAATTTTACTTTATTTTTGTTGTAAAAGCTGAAAATTAGTGGATCTGGGTATGGTAAAAAATGAGTTGCATCAGAGATAAACTTGCACACGATTCCTAATCACTACACTTACTCATTTTTTTTATAAAACCATTGTTTGACACGATTGGAAAAAAACTGAAATATCTCTTTTGATGACATGGAGTGTTTTGCCCCACTTATTCAACCTCAAATTCCAAAACTGAAGTTAATCTAAAATTGATAGGTGATAGTGATACTTTTTCTTTTTCTAATTATAAGGTATAAATTTAAAAAATAATTAGTTAATTTTTATCTTATAATTAGGACAGAGGGAGTATATAAAAATGGAAGAATGAGATTTAACATTATTAGATTTTTAAAAAAAATTTTATAACGATTTTGTGTTTGGGAATACCAATAATCTGTCCCTTTCATGTTTGATAAGGTTCTTCATGTAATATCTCCAAAAATTAATAAGAAAATATAATAACAAGAGAGAGTTGAAGAAAACAGTCAAAACACATTGACCTTAATGTAACTTCCGCAAAAATTCAAGGGTATTTCTCTGAATGAAAGCAAATAGAAGGGACGCCAGCAGTAAATAAATCCAGAGAAAAATCCAAACATTTCCAACAAGAAACAAAGCTTGAAGCGAAGCTTTCTCTACCTCACAGTCCCAACGGTCTGATCAGGTACGTTTTTTCCTGAGCTTCTCCCACTCACGTTCTTCTTTAAACAGTTCTCTGTAAGTACCTCTTGCAACAAAATCATAATTTTTATGATAAAACAATTTCATGGATGATTGGTTGTTATGCCTCATTTACTGCTGCTAAAGCCCATGTCATTTTGCATTTCTTGTTTTCCTTGAAATTTTTTGTGGCCAATTAACTGTGAATGGACAGCTGAAGGTGTTATTTCATAGGAAAGGGAAAAAAATTTGTTTTTAATCTTACTTGGGAATTTGAAATGAACAGAATATATTGAATTTGAGTGCAGTAACAAGATAAGACGGTTAGATGTTGATGTGTTTGAAGATATTCGTGTAAAGAGTGTATTTTGATTGTTAAATTTCACTATTTATGCATGGCCGTTGAAAGGGATTTGGAGGAACTTAGTTGCGGTTGAAAATCACGATTCTGATTTTAAGGGATTAGATGGTGAACCCATTTGAATTTATGGAACAGTTTGAAAAATTCACTTGTTTTTTGGTTGTCTGAACGTTCTTCTCGTTTTGAAGTCCAAGGATTCCAATTTTCCTTCTTATATTGATTTTATAAATGAGATTTTCATACTCTTGTTGCTTATGTTTCGAATATTATTCTCACAATTATATAGTAGCTGAACCTGAGTTTTGCTGTTTGTGTGTCTAACATCGATTTCTTTTTTGCAGATTCGGCATCGTTTTGAGTTTCTGTAGCTGGTGTTTGGTTCCCGTAAGTAAAAGTTGTATGCCTAACCAAGATTTGTAGGATTGGTGGAGCTTCCTTCAATTCTGGCTGTATGACTTCTTATAATAGAAACGTTTTGTGAATGACAAACTCCGATTCTCCCAATTTTCAGTTTCCAGGCAGGAACTCTGCTGTTTTGTTTTCTCCTTAACATTGTTGAACATTGAAGCAAAAGTATTTACCTCATGGCTAGTCTAACCATTGGGTCTGTCATAATCAGAAATCCTTCATTTTATCCATGCCAACTCAACTCAGACTTCAGTTTCCTCAATAGGATACCATTTCCTTTGTTTCAAACTAAAAGACCATCAAATTTTGAATCCAGAACCTCCTATATTCCCCCATGTTCTGTTTCGGAGAGTTCTGTATCTTCCCCATTGGAAGCTGAAGCTGAAGCTATTGATGAAGAGGATGATCCAACCGCCGAGTTACGCTATCTTGATCCAGAAGTTGACCCTGAAAGCATTTCAGATTGGGAAATAGACTTCTGCTCAAGGCCTATCCTCGATATTAGAGGAAAAAAGATATGGGAGCTTATAATTTGTGATAGTTCACTTTCACTTCAATATACAAAATACTTCCCTAATAATGTTATCAATAGTGTCACTCTGAAGGATGCTTTATTGACTTTGTGCGATGAACTGGGTTTACCTCTACCAGATAAAGTCCGCTTTTTCAGGTAAACTTTTGGACATTCTAGTCTTAACATACCCTTTGCTTTTACCAATCGTTAAATTTAATTTTCAACTTAACTGATGTTTGCCTTTTTCATTCAATGATTAGGTCACAGATGCAGACAATTATTACTCGGGCATGCAATGAGCTTGGAATAAAACCTATTCCTAGTAAACGGGTACGATATAGGTTGAAGATCTTCTTCACCAGAAATCATTAATCTTTCTGAGATCAGATATGCTATGATAAAATTTGTGCCAGCAAATTCCAAATAGTAGGGGTCGTGATTTGAGATGATAACATATAGTGGATAATTTTTGTATGCCTGGAATCGGAAGCACCAATTTTGTTAAACACGGTGTAAAACTTGTGTTACCAACATGACAAGCAAAAAACTTTTCAAGATGCTTTGAAGTTTGTGGTCAAAGAAAGCAGCATACTGAATTGATATTTAGAAAAGGACATCTGTTCTGTTCTGCCAAGCAATCAATTTGCTGGAAATCCTAAGAGAAGAGGGCTTTTTTGTTAGAAAATAAAACTTTCTCTACCTTGTAGTTCTGTTAGACATGTGCTTTCTTTCCGTGTTTCGTGCATAACACTATTTGGTAAAGCTTTCTAGAGGTTTAATATAATATCTCAAGTACAGTCTAGTATCATTAACCAGCGAAACTGATATGTTCTGTCATGAGTTGTCTATGGTTCAATTCCTTCCCAGACCTGTACATTTAGTGAATAGCCGTAGACTTTACCTGCAGAAGAAATATAGTTGGAGTCTTTGTATCTCGTTCTCAGATACTTGATTTTAGGTCCTTTGGTATACAGTATCAAAGAAAGTTGTTCAGTTTGAAACAATTTCTGGAGCTTTAACGAAACAAATAAAATAAAATTCTGGAGTAGACTCTTTAGGACACTTGTTGATAACAAACTAGTGAATTTTTTGTGTCCCAGTACCATCAATCACTCCAACATCATAGATTTGGCAGTCAATGGAGTTCTATATCATTGCTATTGGAAGATTTTCCCTTTCATTTAGAATTGTTCAGGTGGAAGAAATGTTAATTGAAGAAACAAACCTGGATTTTGTTTGCCCTGTCTCTTTTATTCCCAAAACTCAAAAGTTAGAAGGAAATCTAGACTTTCAATATTCAAGAAATGAAATCATGTCGAAGAGTCTGGTGCTAGAACATTGCCATACATTATTCTGCACTATGTCAAGCATTCTTGATTTTCCACATACTATCATAATAAATGTGATCAGTTTCAGTACGATCGTGCTATATGCGATCGTCAGACTCAAAATCTGTTTTGGCAGACTTCTAGATATCCACCTTATTATATTGTAAATTGGTATCCCTCTTTGACACTTGCTCTAGAATGTATTTCTTCTGTTTCCATAATACTCTTATCCTTCATGCTTATCTCTATTTAGAGCTTAAACTCTTAAAATAATGAAGTGACCTGTTCTGAAATGTTCATATTATGAAGTGACCTTTAGTGATAATCATTTTTTAGGAACCTGCTTAGCTCTAAATGTTCACAATTTTAGTTGATCCTAACTTCTTTTGCATACTCCTCTTTCAGTGTTTGACATTAATTCTTTGGCTTGAAGAACGATATGAAACTGTTTATATGCGGCACCCGGGCTTTCAGAAAGGAGCTAAACCACTCCTTGCACTGGATAATCCATTTCCATTAGAACTTCCGGAAAATCTTTATGGGGAAAAATGGGCTTTTGTACAATTACCATTTTCAGGTGAGCAAAATTTTGAAATTTCTTGTTGAAGTATTCTTCTTTCTTACTTGAATGCAATAATTTCTTCTTCATCTCTACCTTTTTTCTTCATGAAATTGTTAACTCCAAATGGGAGCAGCTATAACTTTCTGTACAACTGATATGTTCTGTAACGAAAAAACATCCCTGAGTTTCTTTCACTACATTTCTGCTGCAGAGAATTTTTTTTCCCCTTTCAATAAAGTTCAAATGTGGAAGAGATAGTTTGACAATCTAAATATAGCAGAAGCTGAATAAAAATTTACTGAGCAAATTAAGTATAAATTTCTTATTAGTATGTTTACCTAAGATTTAAATTTGAACTAAGTCTTAGTAGTTTGATTAAGATTAATTATAGATGAATAAAACATCTGAGCTATAAGGGAAACACACTAATCATGTGTAACGAATTGAACAATATGGACTTCAATATACTTTGCTAGCTAGGATCTCAATTTAACTTGTTCCACTTTCATTAGGCTAATTATAAGTTAGCACCTCTTTATGAAATGCATGTTCGTTGGATCATCTTGAGTATCTTTTAGCCTGGGGGTGTCTGGTTTACAAGTCTTAACATTAGGTTTCCCATGTGGCCACCATGCTTCAAAATATGTCTCTATCCTGCAAGGATTACCAAAATGTAGCTTCACTTTATGTATAGTCTAATCTGTCCGAAATTTACTTGAGCATTCACCTAAGTCGTTCTTATTCCACTTTTGTCTTCACTAGGTATTTAGATCTTGACATGTACAAGTCCTCTTAAGCATTTCTGACTGTGTAACTGAGTATGTGCTGAACCTTATTTCTCAAAGAATGAAATTCAACTTTCTGAGATAGTTTGACAATCTAAATATAATAGAAGCAGAAAAAAAATTTACTGAGCAAATTAAAATAAATTTCTTTAGTATGTTTACCTAAGATTTAAGTTTGAACTGAATCTTAGTAGTTTGATTAAGATTAATTGTAAATGAATAAAATAACTGAGCTATAATTGAAACACAGTAATCATATGTAACAATTGAGAAGAAAACCCACATTGAAACAAGATATCAATTTGGACTTCAATTTACTTTGCTCGCTAGTATTTCAATTAACTTGTTCCACTTTACTTAGGCTATTTATAAATTAGCAGCTCTGTATGAAATGCATGTTTGTTGGATCATCTCGAGTATCCTCTTAGACTGGGGGTGTCTGGTTTACTAGTCGTAAAAATTAGGTTTCCCATGTGGCCACCATGCTTCAAAGATATGTCTCTATCCTGACCAAATTGTTAGCTTTACTCTATTTATAATCTAATCTGTCCAAAATTTACTTGAGCATTAACCTAAGTCGTTCTTATTCCACTATTCTTTTTACTAGGTGTATAGATCTCGACATGTATAAGTCCTTTTTAGCATTTCTGACTGTGTAACGGAGTGTGTGCTGAACCTTATTTCTCACAGAATTAAAATCAACTTTCTACCCTTCCCCCCTTCAAAGAGATAACTTCTATTAGCCTGTCTCTATATCAAAGATGAGAAGCTGTTGTCCAAACAATGATAAAGAAAAATTGAAAACAAATCAAAGGGGGAAAAAAGAAAAACTAGACCTTCATCATGGATCTTAAGAATCTAGTAAGCAGTTGCATCCAAAATCAACTTAATTAAACACTACGAAAAGATTAGCTTCAAATGCTGTTTAAAATAACTATTTATTGAGTTTAACTGTAATCATGATAATGTTTGAAGCTGGGGACTTTTGAAGATGATACCCATCGCCAAGCCTGATCTTCTATGATCCAGAAGTTGATCCCTATTCATGTTGTTTCTTATGGTTTTTGTGTTCTCTAAATCTTAGGAAAGTTGATTTACATATAAGCAAGTGTTTAATGTATCAAAAGACTTTGAGGATTTCAAAATTCCACAGGGTGCATAGCTCGCTACATGCTTGAGCTACAGTCACACTGGGGGTGCATTGCCATAAAATATGTTGGTTTTGGTTTCCTTGGTCCATCAAGCTGCATCATGACCTAGAGCATGCCGTGAAGTACACACCACGGAGTAACATGTAGTGTCTTGTCCCCTGAAGAAACGCTATTACACTTTTCTCCTTCTGCTTCTACGTCTGATAGCCTCTCTTTTGGCGCTATGACTCATGCATCACTTCTTCCCTCAAAAAGTCTCACTTCGGTTGGTACCCAAAAATTCACAACACAGAAATGATTTAATCAAATCACGAAAGTGGACCAAATTTAACCACCTGCCACAGAATCAACTGAAAATGATGGTAAAAGTTATAGCATATTTCCAGATTATCATATCACACTGTGAATTGGCTACGCTTCACTAAGTTCTTGAATATGAAACGATTATGGAGAACTATATACCAAATTTAGCTTGAAATTTTAAAGACAACTGTTGGTTGGGGCTTTGAAATTAGTAGTGACTTGGTTCTCTCATCAACATTCCTGTTGCTTTATTTTTCAGTCATTAAGTTCTCTGTTGAACAATTGTTTTAGCTTTTGCATGCTAGATACATGATATATCTGTTTCTTTCAAAGCTATTAGGGAAGAGCTGTCGACCTTGCAAGCAAGATCTACCTTTGGTGCTGGTTTAGATTTGGAACTTCTGGGGATTGAAATTGATGATAAGACTTTGATTCCTGGACTTGCTGTTGCAACTTCGCGTGCTAAAGCACTAGCAGGTAATGTAGTTCAGAATTCAAATTTGTTGCTTTTCGCCTGAATCTCCAGCAGTTTTCTTTTCATTTCACTTTTTTCTTGGGGTTTTTATTACTACATGCTATTGCTTCATAAACTGTGCAACAATGTTTTCCCTTACATGTAATAAATCCATAACCTTTTTGACATTGAAAGTCTGTGAACATTGATGTTTTCAGAAGAACAATGACAGTTGAAATGACTAGAATTGTGGAGTCACTATGATTTACTTCCTTCAAGAGTTCATCGTAATCATCATCTGAATACTGTACCATGTGCTGGAAATGCCAACAAATAATTTGGTCCTTGCACCACAGGTTGTCTAAAAGTGAATCTTCTGTAACATTTCATTGCATGTTACGCCCGTGTCCTTTTCTTTTCTTTAAAGGGATCAATAGTGATTCCCCACTTACCCTCGGCGTGACACGAACCCGTGATTTAAATCAATATAGCGTGGTTGTTAATATTAATGGTTGGGTGGTCAGTGGTTGTGGAGACATGATACTGAAACATAAGGGTTCCAATGCTCTTAGAAGCCAACCTGTCGAATAAGTTAATCTGTTGCTCTTGCAAAGTGCTGGATCAATATGCAACTCAGAGTTCCTCGTAATTCTGCTTTTTCTGTATCAGATGCAATTCATTCTTCTGGGATTTAATTTGGCATGGAGCTTCTTTTCTTAACTCTAGTTCTCTCCACAACATGCTTTTGCGAACTTGTGTGGACTTTCCATCTATTTCTGGCCTTTCTATCTATACCCTTGTCTTAAGACCCTTTCCGTCTCCTCAGTATAACTATAATTACTGCAATGTTTTCAGCATGGATGAACGGTTTAGAGGTCTGTTCAGTTGAAGCTGATCTTGCCCGGGGTTCCTTGATTTTATCGGTGGGGATATCAACCCGCTATGTTTATGCGACGTACAAGAAAACCCCTGTGACATCCAGTGAAGCTGAAGCGTGGGAAGCTGCAAAAAAGGCTTGCGGAGGCTTGCATTTTCTGGCTATACAAGACGACTTAGACTCAGAAGACTGTGATGGATTTTGGCTACTGCTGGATTTGCCACCGCCACCTGTATAATTTACTGTCAAGCATGTAATATGTATGGTTAGTACAAAATTTTGTGCTCTAAAATGCTGAAGTTATATTGTTGTTAGTTTGTAGTGAGGCTTGTTGCAAAGAACGAGACGTCGATAAAACTCAGAATTCAGAGCTTTGAAGTCTGAATTGTGTTGAGCCTGTATATAACGTCTCTCAAAACTTCCCTGACAATATAACTTGCGACAAAAGAAAATTAAAATTTGATATGAAATGTATAGTGTAATCAAATAGACAAGAGATCCAAAACCTAAAGATCTAGTCATAGTGCCATATCTTTTATTCCTCTGCTTGATAATATAGTGAACAGAGCATTATCTTCACTGTTGAAGCTGAATCTTTGATCCAAATGTTACCTTCAGCATCTTGAGTAAAGCTCTAAATGCAAAATGCAGATTGATACCTTTCTCATTGGAGTAAACTTCATCGACATGGCGAATATGATTATTCATCTGCTGTCTCAAAATTTTACAGCTAATGAGATCCATGATCCAGCAATCACTTTGGCACCATAACATGCACGAAGAGCGCAATCTTCTCAACCTGGAGACTCCCAAGGATGATCCATTGTGTCTGTAGCATGAAGCTTGGCAAGGAGATCCTTGAACGCGTGAAAACACACCATGCCATTGTAAATGAAGGGCTGATTCTGCAACTAGAAAATGTGTGAGCGTCTCCCCTACAACAGAGTTATAAATTGAATAGCCGAATTTTTATGTTTTCGCGACTTCCCGAATGATGAAATTACAAAACAAGATTAAAAGCAGCTGAATTTCGGGCAGCAAAATACCACCAAACTCATGGCATGAACACCTCTGCAGCTTCCTATACATTTAGACCCGAAAGGGCCGATGGAAATTCACACTTTCTGTAAATAACAGAAGCATTTCAACCTAGAGCAGATGCAATAGATTAAAAGAACATAATCCAAACTTTGAGGCCTGCTACTACTTATCGAATTTATTCATTAGCTGCTGAGGATAAAGCGGAAAAGGCTTTGAAGGCTTTGGCTGCCATCTGATCGGATCATCTTCTTCTCAATTGCAAAGTGAAGTGCTCAAACTATATCTTCAGTTACTGATCTTGAGCAAAATTCTTCCATTTTTAACGTTCGAAAAGGATAATAAGCGAAGGAGTAAAATACAGGTTGATTATGAATGGCCTAAAAAAGAATCCAAAGAGATTCAATGGAAGAATATAGGAAGCAGAATGAAGGTTTTTTTTTTTTTTTGCCATAGTTGACTTTTTGCATAAAAAATTGACACGTGTGGCTGATTAACTACAAAGGTTCACACCAAGGTTTTCTCTTGAATAAAAAATTGCATCAATTTGATCGTACTTGAGGAATAGGGCGAAGAGATGGGTTTCTTGGGAAGAATTTTTGGATTGACTACTTGAATTCGATGTTAAAGCAGTGCCCATTGCACCTAAGATTGTTTAGAGACGGTAAAATCATACTATTTCGAAGACAAGGCAGAGAGACCTGGTTCGGACATCAAGGACGGATTTCGTGGTAAAATTTTTGGAGCTTTTAATACTATGATTTGGCACTGCCGATGTTAGAAATGAAGAGAATACAACTCTTTAATCCCGCTTAGGCAAGGAGTTTAGTCCAGCAACTAATGTCAATTTCTCACTCTCTAAGCAAGTTTGAACCGCTAGAAAGGGGTAACTCTGTTTTCCCTTTAGTTAGTTTATATAAATTTCCAAATTCTGAAGAAGAAGATCTTTTATGTGATGTCGGATGAACTTACTGCTGGTGTTAAAGAAGTTGTTACTGAGAATAGTGAATTCCATGACTGATCATGAATTGAAAAAATTGGGATTATTCTTCTGTGATGTTAAATGATTCGGCTCACGATCCTATGGTATTTGAACAAGATTAGCAGTGAAGATGAGGCAATGATTAGTGAAAATGTGCATCCAATTATAATGATAAAATATCATGGGTTATGATTCCATGAAATTACATTACGTATATATATGATATAATAGTGGGTATTTTTGGAGATTCTAAGCCCTATAAATTAGATGACAATCAGAATTAATATGAGTTTTCAGTTGCTAATCATTTGAATGAAGTATAGAGTTCTAATGCTAACAAACACATCCTGAAATCGGTTGAGTTTTATGTGTGTAAAGTTTCTAGGGTACTAAAAAGTCTTGCTGAAATGAGAAACTTAGAAAGATCATTGGATACAGTCACATCTGGGTTTAAAGGTGAGATAATACTCAACTTCAAGTATTCAAATTCTGCAACCTCAACCTTTGATGATTTATCTTGGGTACAATATTCTTATTTCTAATTTAGCAATTGATGATGCGTAGCACAAGTCGGTGTATATTATCATCTGGCAAAGCAAATTTCTTGGTGTAATTTAAGGGGGCTTTTCCCAAAAAAAATTAAATAAAATAAACGTGGACAAATTTAAATTTTTCAGAATATCTGTGGACAGAAATATATTGCTCGGATTTCTGAAATCCGAGTGTTGATTAATATTCGAGATTCGGATTTTGTAAATCCGGATCCATACTTAATAATAAAATAATAATTTCATAAATTTTGTTGAATAATAGTTTTTTTAGTTCTTTAGTGAACAGTAAAGCTCGGATTTGTAGAATCCGAGTTCGCTTAAAATTAATAAATCGCGGCGCGAAATTTTGAATCCAAAACCGGAAGTCCGTAATCCGGTTTGACGAATTCGGATTTTAGAAATCCGGATGCCTTTAATTTTGGTTGGTGGAAGTAGGCATGTGCCTTAAATTGGAGGACCAACAAATTAATAAAATAATCTGAATTGACTAAACTCGGATTTATGAAATCCGAATCTAATACGCTCGGATTTCAAAACTGAAGTTACTTACAAACTCGGATTTCGTAAATCCGAGTTTAACGTGCTATAAAAGAAAAAAATTTCAGGCAGTTCTCATTCGAGAACCGAGTTGGATTTTCTGCTTTTGCACTCAAACAAGGGCGAATTGAAGTTTTGATGCATTCTTGCCTCTAGATACGTGGAAATCGTTATTTGAAAGAGGTTAGATTGCAAAACCATGTTATTTAGTTTATTTTTGTGTTATTTTGATTGTTAGAATGATGTATGATAGATTAGGGTTTATGTTGGTTGGTTGTTTGGATGTTTTAGGTGTTGATTTTGAGGTTAGAGATGAGAAATCATAGTTGTTCATGAGATATCGAAGTTGATTTATAAGTATTTTAGTATGGTGTATTTGTTGGAGTATGTATGGTGTATGGTGTATGGTGTATTTTAGAGAATGTATGGTGTATTTTGTTGATTTTGTTATTAAGAAATGATTAGTTATTGATGTTTTTTTAAACAGTTATCAATGGCACGTAATGTATCATACATGCTTAATTTGTATCATACAAGTAAGTATGTAATAGAGAACGGTAGCATCAACACTTTTTCGAATATGCCGGATGATGGTTTGTTTGTCGAAGAAAGGTTGTCATATGAGGGATTAATTAGTAAGATTTGTATGACCCTTGGTTGGGATCCAGCACACGTGAAACTCCACCTTTCTTTGATTTTCGATAGTCCCGGTGGTAGGCGTGTAGTGAAGATCAAGAATGATTCGCATGTAGAGTTCATGAACCGTGTAGATCCAATGTCATGTTTGGATTTATACATAGATTTGGAAGATATCACTCAAGAAGAAAGAGAAGCGAGTTTGGAAAACGTGTCATTTGGTGATTTTCGAAGGGGGGGAACGTGCTAGTACTTCTCGAAACCGTGATGAAGAGGAGACACCTTTATTTGCACAAAATGACTACCGGGAAGAGTTGGATTCCGACTACATAGCTCCAAGTGAAAGCGAAGAAGACTGTGATGTCTCCGGAGAGAGTGATTTTGAAGAAAGTGATGATGAAAGGTTGGAAAATGAGGAAAGGGATTGTAATCTATTCGCCCGACGCCATGTATATAGTAAGATGGGGAACTGGGATGCCTCATGTGTAGACAAGGATGAGTTTGCTCTTAAGATGTGGGATGAGACGCCCAAGGAATGGACATTGGTGTTTGTTTCAAATCTCAATCGAAGCAAAGCATGCTGTGAAATTATGGAATATCCATCATAAAAGGGAATATACGGTCGCCGCGAGTAGTCCAAGGACGTGGGCTGTGCGGTGTAGAACATTTAATGTGGAAAGTGAGTATGGTGAACCACCATGTGAGTGGAAGATGCGTGTGTCATTGAAAGCTCACGGCCTTCATGAAATTGTGAGATGGCATGATGCACATAATTGCATGACTCCTGTGAATGATAATGACAATCGGTGTGTGGACGCGTCTTTGATTGCTAGACTCATCAGGAGAAAGGTTGAGGACAACGTAGATTATACGGTAGCCTCGGCACAGAAAGATGTGAAGACCTTATTGAAAGTAGATGTGCCATACAAAAGGGCGTGGCACGGGAGGAGGAAAGCCATAGAAGCGGTCTATGGTGATTGGACCTCCAATTTCGAAGAACTTCCACGGTAAATATCAACTTTTATCCGTGTATTGAAATATTTATAGTATTTTTATTTTTACATGTATTGAAATATTTTAACAATGACTTGTTGTTGTTTAGGTATATCGCTGCGCTTAAGTTTACTAATCCTGAGACTGTAGTAGAGTGGGAATGGAAGGAGGGACAAGAAGGTTGGAACAGGGGAAACCGGACATTTAAATACGTCTTCTGGTCAATTGCATCGGTGGCTGAGACGTTTTTTGAATGTCCACCGGTCATTTGTATCGATGGAACCTTTTTGCGTGGTGGATACAAGGGTAAATTGCTTGTTGCGGTGGTGTATACCGCAAACAAGCACATTTTACCGGTTGCATTTGCGATTGTTGATGAGGAGACAGTAGAGAGTTGGACATTTTTTATGAGCAATTTGAGGTTGTGTATGATAGAATCGTAAGTGTGATATCCGACCGGAATGCAGGGTTGTTGAGCGCAATGTCACAGATGGATGAATG